GTTGAGATCACTGAACCTTGCTCTGTGCTTCAGTTGAGCTGAGTGCAAGGGACAAGTCATTCGTCTTGGCATCCCCTGAGCAGAGTTCGGTGACTGGCCCAGAGAAGACAGTCATAGTGTCTGTGAATATGTGAATGGTGAAAGGACATGGTCCTCACAACCATTTGGACATCTCCCCTATCCTTGATTTGAGCTCTCTTGAGGGGAGATGAAAATTAAGAAACAAACACCAGCAAACAACATGACCTCAGGAACCTGGCAAGGAATAAGAACACATGCAGCCAGAATTCCCTTTTCCTTTGAGAAGTCCTTATGCCAGTGACCATCTCTGCCTAACATCTAACATGGAATGACGAATGTATATGCAAAATCTTTCACTGAATCCCTAAGACACCTTCTAAATACTTCAAATGAGAGCATGTATATGAAACCTCTGATGAAAAGTGGAACAATTATTTGAGAAAAAAGAGGTGGTGATAAGAGGATCAGAATTGCTTTATTCTCTTCCCATAAAAATCACATAACATTAGCATGGACCTCTCTTTATCCTCAAATTCAAAATCATGACACGTTAAAATAAGATAAATAAAACCAGTTATCAAATGAACATATGCAGTTTTGCTTGTCTTGTTTGGGAAGCCTTCCATCTGATGGCTCAGTAGATCCATGTGGGATCTGGTGAGCAGGCACTAAAGGCGCTACTGGGACAGAGAAAAGCAGTGGGTCAGTGGATTTTATCAGTTTGTTCTAGCGGGTATCACACTGGGAGCCCTCTCCCTGCAAAAAGGACAGAATTAATATTCCAAGTTCCTGTTCCAGCAATGGCCAGACTGGCCCTTCCCTTTAGACAAAGGGTTAGCTCGGTATCCACAGGCTTGTGAAAATTACTAGCCCTCTAAAGCATTACTTATCTTTAAAGCAAATACACTAGATTCAGGTCTTCCCTGAATCAGAAAAAAGCCATAAAGATGCAGCCACTCGGATTGGAGAAGAAGGAATGAAATAGGTGAATATCTATGCAGCTGCCTCCCTTCCTGTTGAGGAAGTTTCCAAGAATGCTACCCAACTAATTTTTGCCCCAATATATTCTTGGAGTGGGACAGCTTACCTAATATTTCGTTTCCAGAGCGATACACATTAGAGAGAAGTCCTGGCATAGCAATCATGGAGCTTGGTTAGATCTCCTTTTCAATCTCTCTCTCTTTTAAATACCAGTTTGGGTATGCCTGCCCGACATGTCACTTCAACCAGCAAGAATAGAGATAATTCTCTCAGAGATGAATGAATGTACCCCACTAATACTGAGTCACTCGTGATGAAGAGTAGAGAACTTGGTAGAGAACAACAGTGTCAGGGCCTCTGCTCTATCAGATTCCCTACAGAGAAGACAGAGTTGGTTCTCTTTCCTAATGAACTCCTGGAGGTCGAAATGGTATTGTAGTAGTCTCCCCTGATCCTCGGGGGATGTGTTCAATGACCAGCAGATACCTGTAACCACAATAGTAGAGAACCAAATTGCCGTCATTCTGGACACGTTTCTGTTCATAGCTTCCACCCACAAATTTAATGCCTTTTCTATCTTAACAAAGCACTTATCACACACTGTGGCTGTAATTTTTGCAGTATGAGGTGCAATAGCAAAACTAGCACAACCCCCTTTTTTTTCTTATGGACAGCACATTTGTTCTTACTGTAGGTCTTAGCAACCTCAGCATATGATGTTTTTGTTTTCCTTATTAAGTGGAGAACTTTCACCTTTTCACTTAAAGGAAGCATTTTATATAGCTTTTCTTTGGAATATCAAATTGCCAGTATCACTGCTCTTGCACTTTGGGGCCATGATTAAATAAGGGTTACTTGAACAAAAGCACTAGATACCACCAACAATTGATCTTATAACAAGAATTCTAAGTTACTACGGGGCACGGAGAGTCTACACCATCGACATACTGGACAAAGGAATGATTCACATCCAGTGCGGGACTGAGCAGGATGGTGTGAGATTTCATCATGTTACTCAGAACTTTTTAAAACATATGAATTGTTTACTTCTGGAATTTTCCATTTAATATTTTCGGACCACAGTTGACCGTGGGTAACTGAAATCACAGAAAGTGAAACCACGGATAAGGGGGGAACTACTGTACATTCCCTAACCTCTGGGCATCTGTTAGGTCACTGGAAAAATGAGCTAAAATATGCACAGCAACTGGGATAGTAGCTAACATACAATAAGTGCATACAATGTTTCCTGGCCAACCATAATAGCTGACATTTATTGAGCACCAACTATGCTGTGGTCCGTGATTTATATGTTTTATTTCCCAGTGGGTGCTACTAGCCGTTTTTCTAGCTGAGTTAACTAAGACTCAGAAATTCAGTTTCTTTGGACAAGTACAGCTAGCATTTGAACCCAACTTGCCTGGTCTGAAATCTCATGCCCTTTCCATCACTGAATATTACTTCCTTAAGCTGTTACTGCACATTGAGTGAGCTAGACAGAAAGGGACAAGCAATCAAGCTTTATTAAAAACCCAAGAATTTATTTCCCAGTGGGTGCTACTAGCCGTTTTTCTAGCTGAGTTAACTAAGACTCAGAAATTCAGTTTCTTTGGACAAGTACAGCTAGCATTTGAACCCAACTTGCCTGATCTGAAATCTCATGCCCTTTCCATCACTGAATATTACTTCCTTAAGCTGTTACTGCACATTTGAGTGAGCTAGACAGAAAGGGACAAGCAATCAAGCTTTATTAAAAACCCAAGAATTCTAAACTAAAAATATCCTTTCATGCCTTGGTAGATTCAGGAAGAAAGTAGCAAACAGCACGTAATAAAACAATGAATCCTTGATGAGAGAGAGTAAAAAGGTACTTCTAAATATCTCAGAATAGATACAATTGTTAATTAAAAAACTTTTTTTGCAGTGGGCATTTAAGGACAAAGCCATCGTGTTCTCTCCATTTTCCTCCCTCCTCAAAAAAAATGCACATTGTCCTCTCCATGTTCCATCTGATTAAGTTGTCCCAATGCCAGAATATACTGGGACAAGGAACTAGTCAGGTTTTATTCTTGGAAACTCCTTAACCGCAAGAGGCAGTTAGGTAGAGGGCCCATCACCAATCCCGTACAGCACCAAGAGCTGAGTTAGTTTCTATGTTCCAGAATATTTAGGCTGCATGGTCTTTTTACCTGGATTTAATGATTTGTCTACTACAAGAACCAACCTACACTGTTCATCAAAGAGTTTTAAAAACTGTTCACTTTGTTTTGGGGGTGGGTAAGAAGTGAAGAGTACAGGCATGGAAAAAATGAGGAAATATAACCGTGAATGTTTATTCAAAGCATAGAATGAGTTGGGAATGAAAGAGAAGATTTTGATATCAGCAGAAATAAGGCCAGACTCCTCCAAATCTGTGAGATGATTAAAAAGCTCAGTTAATATGGTAAAGAACTTCATCAATGACAAGGGGCTGCCTTCAGGTGCCAAATCCCATTATCCTCTCAACCTCTACACAAATAAAAAGAATTATGGACAATGGCCAAGGCCCCATTTTTCCCCTCCCAGCACTGACAACAGGAATTTAGACCATCTACTGACATTGCTTATTAATAGGATTTGACCTCCATTAGCTTTTCCCAACAGTTGATGGTAAACCCAAACTTTAAGAGTGTGGTTTAGGATTATTTTGGAAATCTGAATAAGTCTTTTTGTGATTAAATTCTACTTTCGATTAACAGAATTAGCTTTGGCTTTCACATTAACCTCTGAAAGACATCGTTATTTATGTTTGTTGCCAGTTTTAAATGGATACAATTATGAATAAAGGCTTTTAAACAGAGCCCTGATAAAACCTATACCTAATCATTTTCCACCAGTCCAGTTTTATTTCGATTTTATGTGCTCACACATTTGACTAGACACACTTAAAGAACATATGTTTATATCTATATAAAATATAGATGATATGGGAGTTTCTTACAAAGGATTTATTAATGAAAATTTATTAACTATATAACTTTGAATACCAGAGAAACTTTAATATGTACAAATCAGCACAAAGTTCCTAGTTCCCAAACTTTGGTTTTATGAATATGCCTCAAGCACCACAGAACAAACATTAATCCTAATTTAAAAAGAAAAAAACTCAAGAAACAAAAAAACTCTTCAACTCTCTTGAATATGTTTTCTTTACACCATATGGGGAAAACCCTCTTTTATTCTACATTTCCTGTCACCTTGGTCAGTTTCCAAAAACAGTATCAATAAAAATTGATCAGGAGAAAAAAGACAGACAAACCATTACAAATAAAAGTGATGTGTCAAAAGGACAAATTATGGAAATTATTCTGTCTTAAATAAATAAAAAAACTTTTTTAACTTAGGAGTTTGCATTACGTAACGTATGGAAAAAAATCCCAATTCTTAATTATCAAAATTCAAAAACTCAAACAATGCAAGCATAATAGGCGTTGGGGGTGAAAGGCTCATGGAGATTTTTCACAAACCCAGCTTAAGAGATTCCTGGATTTCAACTTCTTCCCTGGCATCACTGGCATCTGCTACCTGCAGAGCACTGTATAATACATAATCATGAAGAAAGAGAGCTGACGGGCTGAGCACAACCTTTTGTGGGATTTCACAAGAAATCTGATGGGCAAAAGAAAGAAAAAGCAAAAAATGAAGACTGAAATAGAAGAAAATGGAAATGATACATAACCAGGATGGAAGAGGCTTACATGTCCAAGCTGACAATCGCATACATGCAGAAGGGATCATGTCCTTGACTACGAATGTGGATTATATACACATTTACATTAACTTAAGTCAGTTCATACATTACACCTGATGACCGAAATGGGCTGCCTCTGGTGAGAGGTGGGAGGAGGTTCTATTCGTTTAGCTCCTCAGGTCCCTGTCCTCTGCCCTGGCTGGTCGGCAGTCTCTGCACAGCACTCAACAGCGTGGTATATGAATGGATAAAGCTGCCTCTGGTGAGAGGTGGGAGGAGGTTCTATTCGTTTAGCTCCTCAGGTCCCTGTCCTCTGCTCTGGCTGGTCGGCAGTCTCTGCACAGCACTCAACAGCGTGGTATATGAATGGATAAAGCCTGATGTCTGGTCCGGGGGTGGAACAGTTTCTGCATTCTTCATTGTAATATCGTAGCAACAGCTTATACACTTCTCCTGGAGAGTAAAAGCCCAGACCAATTTGCACATTAAGGTATGTAGATGGAAAAAACTTCAAAAGAACACTTCAGTTTTATCTTTATCTAAATAACATATGCTCAGATACGGCATGAATTTCATATGAATTTCAGGCTTTCCTGATACAAACTTAAAAATTTTAAAAACACTTTAAAGGAACTACTTATTAGCTCATGATTACAACAGGCTATATATGGTATTGTCTATGCACTGTCCTGGGAGCACGTGGCAACTCTAGTTGTACACTCAGCTCCCAAGGCGGCAAACACACTGGATGAGCCCCCTGGCATGTCTCAGAAATACGACAGTGAAGCCTCTTAGGTTTGATCTTACCCTTGCATGTCTTCCCCCTTTTTGTTTTCCATACACACAAAAGCAAAAGTGAACACTAACTCCAGCTTCTTGACCTTAATTAATAACCTGACATACTCATTCAAGATCAGGGATGAAACTATGCCAGAAAAAAAGTCTATAAGTGCTGCTTCTCTAAGAGCCTTGTTCCCCACCCTGCACCAAAGTCATGCTTTCATTTCTTCTCACTCCCTGTGATCTATCCAGATTTAGCAAGTGTTCCTCCTGTATAGTGTACAATCAATCTAGATACCAAGCGTCAAGACCTATCCTCCTACTTACCAACAGTCAGTTTCCTTTCAGTAAGGAAAGTGTGCATGCTGTAAATATCTCTCATCAATTCTGAGTCCCCAAAGGTAAAATAAACCACATCTCGCTCAGCTGCAGCAGCTGCCAGTATCTGTATTAAGGCTGTAACAAAGAGAAAAGACAGCTATATTATGACATTTCCCATCAAGATACCGTTAGCTCTTTCAACCAGCTAAGTTACAGCTGGTGTGCCACAGTTTTATCTTAGATTAAAAATTTAAAAATCATATATATATATATAATTAGAAATGGTGAATACAAGATGGACATAAATCATCTACTGTTTCTTTTCAGATATGCTATCGAGAATATCATTAAACTACAGAATTCCCACAACCTTTTCTGGACCACAAATAAAGAAAGGTACATTTGAAGCAGGAAATCAAGGCATTAAGGTGGTATTTATATTCACATATTAATCTGGAACTAAAATTTTTGTGTTTGCTGGCTTGATTTAATTATTTTATTACACAGTCACTGATCTTTTGTACCACGGGTATATTTGGTAGGTTCTAATTCTCTCGTTAACCCCACAGCAATCATCCTCAAAATGGTATGCAGAGCACTCCCGCATCCCTCCTGTGTTTCCACCTTCACCGGATCACTGCAGCACAGGGTCAGTATTACTGAAGACAATGGACAATAACTCTCTGGTGTGTTAGAATGGGAAAACAACTGAGAGTCACTATTTCCAGGAATCAAAGTTACAAACCACTGAGCCTGAAGTATGTTTCCAAAAATTAAGTTCCTTTACAATCTTAATCTCAATAGACAGACTTTATTTTAAATAACAACAACAAAATCAAACAGTTACAATAAATGTCCTTTAACTAGTTACATATCTTTTATTTCATAAAAGGGAAAGTAGAAATCAAATTAAAACATCATGGGAGATAACTTTTTACAGTTTTGATTTTTGATAACATGTTAATATTCTACATATTCAAAAAATAAAATTAAAACAGTTAAAATAGGAAGAGGAGAAACTTATAATTGAAAACAAATGAAAACAAATAAGCCTAATTTTAGTTCAAATGACTAACATAACCACACTGAAAGGAAAGGAAAAAGAAAAGGAAAAAAGAATTAACCCAAACAACTTATGAATATGGTATTTGACTACATACCCCTCAGTCTTAGGCACAGAGAAAAGAATTGCAAACAAATCCCCAACCCTTTTTTTCTTTACCTATACCATAGTAGTATAGGTGAAGCAATTCTGAAACTATTTTTAAATGTACTAGAGAACCGAGTAAATGAACAAATGTGTTGCTGTTCCTGGGAGCTGGGGTTCTCACTATGGAAGAGAAACACAGAAACATGACAGAAAGACAAAAACAACTCTGTGGGATGGACTAAATGGAAAGCATTGGTGTGTACCCACAGTGTCTAAAATACATATATTTGTATGTGTGTTTACATGTACATTTCCTACCTTTGTCTGCTGAAAGGGCCAAAAGCGATGAGCGCACTTAGTGCCCAGATCTTGGTCTCTAATACCATTTCCCCTAGAAGAAACTGGATTCTGTTGGAAATGCCTGGTTCCACAGTTGGTATAAGAATGGTATAAGATGAGCCCAGGCATTTTGTTATGCCAGAAAGTAAAAAAAAAAATGCTCAAAAAAATGTTTGAGGGAAAAGTGAAAAGAGCTTATCACAAGGAAATGAAGCCACTGTGGTAGACAAAATGAGGTGACCTGGCCCACAATTACATTCCTCTACATTCCACTTTTTGTTGATAGTCACCTCTTCCCCATTTTCATGATCACACCTCTCACAAACCCTGATCAAAGGGATAGTCTGGGCCAGCCACAGCATGGTAGAAAATGACTCAGCACTGTCCAGCTTCAACTTTTTCAAGACTCATGGTTTTTCTGGAGTTGAGCTCTCTTGAGTCCAAAACAACAAAATAACTAATAAAGACATTATTTAGATTTGCTATAAATGGATATAAGGTATAAAAAAATAAATTTATAAAAAGTTTCTATATCTCAGAAAACTTTTACTTAATATAAACACTCATATGTCATGCAAATCCTCTTAATCTCATTAGGAGATATTTCTAGTGTTTGCTGACTCCCTGACTATAACAATTTGGTGGAAGGGATGAGAAAGTGAACAAAGTTGGTCCAATTAGAGTTATTTCCATAGGATTTTTAAAGTAAGAGTCCTCTTTTCCTCTTGGGCCACTCAACTGCAATGCTACAAGCCTGGGAGTACATGGTCCAACCATGTACCATGCAGAGACAACCTGACGGAAACAGAAGAGAACAAGACCATCATTTTGAGAGAAGCAGGCAGGAAAGGAACTAAAAAATACACACTGAATAGAGAGAACACCTGATCCTAGAATCTAGTCATTCCTGAGGCCAACTCTACCCTTTCTCAACCACATGAGCCAATAATCCCCTTTTAACTTGTTTTAATTTTCTTTTTGGCATCAATGTTAAGCTATCAAGAAAATACAAATAAATATAACATCAAAAAACAATTCATAATGTCCTGTTGCAACAAATGAACCAAGCAAAAAATGGATAAAATGCTGGCTAGTCATACCACAGGTGTGCTCTGAGACCATGAGCATGTAATATTAGTAACTGCTAGCACTGAGCTCCTATAGCATGCTGAACATCGTTCTAAGAGCTTTACAAGCACTAACACATGATTTACAAGGATTAACTCATTTAATCCTTACAAAAACTGAACCAGGCAATTATTAGTATTATCTCCATTGTGAAATAAAGAAATTTAGGCAGCAAAAGACTAAGTAATTTGCTGAGGTTACATAGCCAGAAAGTGGCGGGGCTGAGATGGAAGGCCAGCAGTCTGACTCGGGGGCTCAGGCCCTCACCTGCCATGCTCCTACATCCTTCTGCTTGACTCCAGGTAGACCTTCCTTACCACATGCCAGCCAGAAGAATTTCCTTAAATTGCTTATTTACATTATTTAAACACATGCTGGCAAGGAGGCTGAAACAGTACAGACTTGAAAGCTCTCCTCATGTCCTTCTAGTGAACCCACGGTCTTTTGTGAGCTCTTACACCCTCTGGTTAACCTGTAAGCTCAAGCACTGCTCACCAGCCCCAAAGGGGTTATGCCTGTTGTTTCTACAACACAGCCCTCTTCTAGGCCAACTCTCATTCTCTAATTGGTCTTGTCCTCTGGCTACTGTTCTTAATCTTGACATGCCCTCCCCTTCCATCCCCCCTTTGTCTGTTACTAAAGGCTCAACTCTGGTCTTCTCACTTGCTTTAAATACATTATCTCTTCAAGACTTCAACCACTATCTCTGGAATGGCAATTCCTAAATCTAGATCCAAATACAGAGCTTGCAGCCAATATAGATTAAAAAACAAAAGTAGAGACAGTGGCGTCAATCCTGGTTTGAATCCTGGCACTGCCTTTTGCTCTCTGTGCGACTTTAGGCTAATTACTTACCTCTATTCCTTAATTAGATTAAAAAACAAAAGTAGAGACAGTGGCGTCAATCCTGGTTTGAATCCTGGCACTGCCTCTTGCTCTCTGTGCGACTTTAGGCTAATTACTTACCTCTATTCCTTAACTGTCTCACTTATCAAGACAAAAAGAAAAACCTATCTAATAGGCTGTTATGTGCTAATACAGGTAAAGAATGTATTTAGTACAATTTCTAGAACACAAAATACACTCAACATGTTCTCAACTAATAACAACACTAACGATAATTAATAATAAAAAACAAACATTGGTTTTTGAGGAAGACAGGACCAAGTCTGAATGTTGGTTCTAACCTAGCTGTTTCTCTTGGGGCAGGCTTATTGGCCTGTCTATAAAACTTGGTTTCCATTTCTTAAAACGGGGGTACAAATTGAAGGGTAACTGTATAAACTGAAGAAGAAAATACAGTGATTCTTAAACCTGACTGATCATTAGCAATTCCCAGACAGTTAAAAAAAAATTACCAAAGCTGTTTCCCAGATACACTAACTCAGCAGCAGATCCAAAGTGCTGATAACAAACATTCATTTACTCCAGACACTTTTGAAAGCACATTACCATACACGACCCCTTTCTAAGCACTGGAGCCACAAAAGAGGGCAATACAGAAGTGTTAAGGAATATTCTTACACAAGCAAGGATGGGAGAGAAATGGAGAGCGTGACCTCTTCTGGCAGAAGAAAGCCAGGTGCCAAGGAGCTGTGGCAGACAAAATGAGGTGACCTGGCCCACAATTACATTCCTCTACATTCCACTTTTTGTTGATAGTCACCTCTTCCCCATTTTCATGATCACACCTCTCACAAACCCTGATCAAAGGGATAGTCTGGGCCAGCCACAGCATGGTAGAAAATGACTCAGCACTGTCCAGCTTCAACTTTTTCAAGACTCATGGTTTTTCTGGAGTTGAGCTCTCTTGAGTCCAAAACAACAAAATAACTAATAAAGACATTATTTAGATTTGCTATAAATGGATATAAGGTATAAAAAAATAAATTTATAAAAAGTTTCTATATCTCAGAAAACTTTTACTTAATATAAACACTCATATGTCATGCAAATCCTCTTAATCTCATTAGGAGATATTTCTAGTGTTTGCTGACTCCCTGACTATAACAATTTGGTGGAAGGGATGAGAAAGTGAACAAAGTTGGTCCAATTAGAGTTATTTCCATAGGATTTTTAAAGTAAGAGTCCTCTTTTCCTCTTGGGCCACTCAACTGCAATGCTACAAGCCTGGGAGTACATGGTCCAACCATGTACCATGCAGAGACAACCTGACGGAAACAGAAGAGAACAAGACCATCATTTTGAGAGAAGCAGGCAGGAAAGGAACTAAAAAATACACACTGAATAGAGAGAACACCTGATCCTAGAATCTAGTCATTCCTGAGGCCAACTCTACCCTTTCTCAACCACATGAGCCAATAATCCCCTTTTAAGCATAAAGGATAAGCTACATCAGTGTCTTTTTCAACTGAAAGAATCCTAAAACAGAACTTTTTTTGGTGTTGTAACACCAAGGTCAAGGGTTCAGACTCCCATACTGGCTAGCTCCCCCCACCCCCAAAAAGAACTTTTTTTTGAGGGAGAAGGGGGATCTTTCTGAAGTAGTTAACACTGG